CATCAATCCACAACCAATTAATTCCAAAAAAATTAAGTTATATATGAAACATATTCAATATGGGTAGATCTTTTTGAAGAGAAGATATTGCGTCAGTTCGGACTGACGAATCTAGCGGATTTTTGGTATCCTATATTGGCTGGATGGTATACTCTATTGCCTGGATGATATCCTCTTTTGGCTGGATGATATCCTCTATTGATTGGCTATATGATATCATGGCTAGATAATATCATATAACCAATAGAGGATATCATTCAACCAATAAAGGATATCTAGACACAATTATAAATGATATCATATAGCCAATAGAGGATATCATACATCCATGATATCATATAGCCAATACAGGATATCATCCAGCCAGTAGAGAATATCATTCAACCGATAAAGAATATCATCCAGCCAATAAAGGATATCATAGACACAATCATGAATGATATCGATCATATAGCCAATAAAAGGATATTATCCAACCATAATATCTTATAGCCAATATAGGATATCATCTAGCCAACAGAAGATATCATCAAGCTAGTAGATGATATGTATAAATGGTTGGAGGATATAAACTATTTGATAGAGTTGATATGTATAACGAACTTGTGTGAGGATGGATATGTATAATTTGTTTGATGATATGTATAACAATGGCAAAACCTCCATTGAAGAGCTCATACTAAAGGTCATGGGTATAACATAACTTGCTTATTTCTCAACCAAAATACATGCATTTGTCATCAAAATGCTCACAAATTCAACATACAATCATATGAGACAAACAATTTCAGCAATAAGAAATCCCCAATTCGATTTTTTAGTCATTTTTTGAAAATTTTGAGAATTAAACTTTTTCTCTTCCGCCATGAATGACCTCGCTTAGCTTCTCTCCTTCGCCATTGATGTCCTCATTGTCATCGTCATCGTTGCCTACAGGGAGAGAATGAGATCTACCATTGTTGTCATCATCGTCATCATCATCTTTATTATCGCCATCGTCATCTCCTCCGAGGCATGAACTATTTGGTCAGGCTTGACTGACCCAATAGTTTGTGTTTTTTGAAATGCACTAATAATATATGAGATTAACATTATGAAACAAAGGGAGTACATAACAAATGAGTTTTAACCAAACATTGAACGACCTTGTTCGTGAGTAGTTCTTGAATATATCAGCTCATTTAGGATTTTGTTCTCTTTGTCTAAAATAAATATGGTCTGAATTATCTAGTCTAGTCTAGTGTGATCATATTTTGTATTTAACTAAACTTTAACCATAAATGTACATGTATAAGAAAAAAAATTATCAAGTGAGGTCTCCTTTGATTCGTCTCACTTTCAAAAACTTCCTTCATTTTTTTTTAAATTTCACCGTTTGGGATTTTACACTATTCACACAACTTTCTTTGACCATCTTCTGTGATTTATCCGTAGGGAAAAACATAGTCATGTGGGATTTCGTTAGATTCGTCTCAATGTCTACTTTTCAAATATCAATTTTTATAATTTTTGCTTAAATATAATTAAAGATATTAATGGCCAAAGTAATGCATCGGCAAACGTGAAATGATAAATGGTGCAATTTTTTTTTTAAAGGGAGAAAATACATAATTTCATAATTTTTGCAATACACACTAAAGATGACAATAAGTAATTGAAATTTTAAAGTAATGATCTAGTCTGGTTTGAATTTTTAAATTTAAACATTGGCCTGAAATTTTCTAATTGGTCTGATTGTAACAAGAATACGTAATACTCCCTAAGCTCCATAATATATGAAGTAATTCATGTTTTTCATTTTGGGAATTCTAAAATTTTAAAGTTTTATTAATTTTCTTTTTACACTAAGAAATGTCTAAATTACCATCACTATTTTTGTCTTTACTTATTACACTATCCAAAATATGTATCCTCACCTTTTTTTTTTACCTATTTGTGTTCCCACTCATTTTCTTTAGGAAAAATTGCCACAATTAATCCCAACTTTGCTCCATCCGCTGATATTAATCCCAACTTCAGTTCATTCACTATCTATCACTCCCAACTTTACACCCTATTAATTTTTATCACCCCGAATTGACTTGCAACCGATTAATCAGATTAACATTTGTAACTTAGATTTTTTTTTTGCACACGTGTCATCATGTGAATGGTCATTTTTAAAAAAAATAACAAAAAAAAACCACACTTAACGGCAGCCACCATTAAGGACAACCGAAATCTGGGAGGGGAGGGGTGGTCGAATTTCGATGGAGAATGCAGCAGGGTGGTCGAAATTGATCGGGGAAAAGAAGGAAGGGTGGAATCCGCGCGTGAAAGAGAATGGAAGGGACGGAAATGGTGGGGGAAGGGTTGGGGGATGTCGGAATTGGAAGGAAATGAGAGGGATCTGGTCGGTATTCGACGGGGAAGGTTGATAAGGGTGGAAACCGACGGTGAAGGCGGCGGAAACAGAGGGGGAAGGGAGAAGTGGGGCGGAGGAGGCAGGGGCTGCCACTTGCTAGGGTAGGGGTTAGGGTTTTAATTTTTTTTAAAAAATTATTTATTTATTATTTCTTTCAGACTTATCACGTGTTGACACGTGTCTGGTAACCTTCTACATTAAGTTGGATGACCGGTTGGGGGCGATAAAAATATTAATAGGGGGTAAAGTTGGGAGTGATAGAGAATTGAAATTAATATTTGTGAATGGAGCAAAGTTGGGATTAATGATGATAATTTTTCTTTTTCTTTATTCCAAGATAAGCCTGGTCTATTGGTTAGGATTATACTTTCCAACCTTGAGATTTGAGGGTTTAATCCCCACTAGAGACATTTAAATGGTGGGATTCCTTATTTGTATCCTAAGATCTCTTAAAATTGGGATGAACAATCTAACTATTTGAGCTATCCCACACTCTCAACTAGGGCTGTCAATTCGGGTAAACGGGTCGGGTTTGAGTTGGGTTAGTGTGATTCGGATCATCTCGGGTCGGGTCAATACGGGTTAATGTCCTAACATATGTGGGTCAGGTTCGGGTTTGGTCATGTTTGAGTCGAGTCATACATCTTATCGGGTTTGGGTCGGGTTAGTAAAAGGTCGGGATACATTCCGGTCAGGTGAAAAATAGGTCGGGTTAAATTTGGGTCTTTACGGTTTAAACGAGTTAGGGTCGTTCTCGGGTTCGGATCAAGTCAATTATTTACGGGTTACAATCAGGTCGGGTTATTTTCTGGTTCAAGTCGGGTTCGGTTCAAGTCAATAATTTGTGGGTTATAATCAAGTCGGGTCATTCTCGGGTTTGAGTCGGGTTCGGTTCAAGTCAATAATTTGCGGAAAATGATAAGTCTATTTTATATATATTTTTATTCCCCATCCCACGGTCATATTTATGCTTATTTGAGCTCTACGGAGCTATTTTTATTACTAATATATGTTTTCTAGTGTCTTTGTAGAGTTGGTATTATTTTGTAGGAATTTACAGATTTATGTCAATTTCCGAGCTGATTGAGCCACTACAAAGATATTAGAGTCGAATCGTATTTTATGACCATATATTTAAAGCCCAAGGTCGAGTTAGAGAAATTTAATCCGACAATTAAGGGCTTGATACGAGAGAAGGTTCAAGATTTTAGAAGTTATTATATCACGACGGACCAAACAAGTGAATGAATTTGGGCTAATGAACTCTAAAAGACCAAGTCCAAGAACAAAAGAGAATGGAACATTGAAGCCCAACTCGCTGCTATGGTGACCGGGCCCGATCGGGCGCTGAACACTCACGCTGATTTGAAAGTCGGTTGGGCTTTGTTAATTAAAGCCCAATCCCTTAACTGATAGGCAAGAATTATCGGGCTCAAAGAAGTGGTGAACAGCTGCTTTTGGAGTTCTACTAAGAGTGGGATTTGTGGGTTTCTTTCCTATATATTAGGAAGTAGTACGTAGGTTTGGAGTTAGGCAAGTTCTCTTAGTTTAGTTTTAAGTTTAGTTTTTTTCTTTTTCTTTTTCTTTTTCTTTTTCTTTTAGTTTTAGTTTTCTTTCTTTTTTTCTTTTCTACTTTTTCACAAGATTTATTATTTTGTTTTCCTTATTACTTTTATTTATACTATTATTCTCTTTATATTAATTATGTGTAAGTAATTTTCTTTCTAGGGTTTATGGGGATCCATTAATAATATGAAAGGGTAATTTACTGTTGTTGATTATCAATGCTAGATTAATTTCCTATTGATTGATTTAATGCTTTGTGACTAGATTTGCGCAGATCTTTTATGCATGAGTTTAACAATATTGATTCGAGATTCGACATATGAGAATTGATGTTTAGGTCTAGTTTCAATAGGCAGGTTAATTTATAAATGGTTAAGTCGAGATTCGAGAGATGAGATTTAATACCGGTAAATTAATTGTGTGATTGTAATACGTAGCGAAAGACCTTTATGATCTGATTAATGTATGCATTGATGATTGATTATTATGTTTTACCCTGGAATATTTTTTATTGGTGAACCTATGCCCTAGGCCTTTTATTTATTGTTTCTCCTCCTACTTTTATTCTTTCCCACTTTTACTCTTAGTAGTTTAGTTTCCTTCGATTATTGTATTTTAGTTACTTTATAATCTAGATTATATTAATTAATTAGGAATAGAAAGATTCGTTTCTCTGTGGATTCGACCCTAATTCCCTATCTACATTAGTTAGAGGATTTAGGAATTACTTTTGATTAGGGGATACGACTTTACCCTGTCAGAAAACATGTTTCGTCTTTAAAAACATGTTGTGAAACTAACCTCTTAAAATTCAAAGTGAAATGTTGAAGTAATAGAGTTAGGATTCAATTTCCGTTCCAATACCAACATGAGATAACGGCCTATACGTATTGATTCAATAACAAGTTGGATTGAATTTGGATCGGGTCAATAAGAAGTCGGGTTGATTCAGGTCGGGTTTGTAACATGTCGGGTTGAAATTTGAGTTAGGTTTGTAGCAGGTCGGGTTAAATTCAGGTCGAGTTAGGAACAGGTCGGGTTGAATTCGGGTCGGGTTAGGAACAGGTCGGGTTGAATTCGGGTTTTGACGGGTTAAAACAGGTTTGGGTCAATTTCGATTCAGGTAAAAAATTTATAGGTTACATTCGGGTTGGGTCGGGTATTCTCTAGGTCGGTTGATGTTCGGATTCGGGTCTCAAATACTCGGGTCAACTCAGATCTAGGGTTGATTGTAGGTTGGGTTCGGTCGGGTTCGGATCATCATTTTTTTCAGATTCAAACGGGTCAGTTAATAGGTCGGGTTAGGGTCGGTATCTCGGGTCGGGTCAGCTTTTGACAGCTCTACTCTCAACTTCTGAAGTGTACTAGTGTGGCAGCTCAAAACGTTCACCTCTAAAATGTATGGTACCTAACAAATTCCTAAGACTGTCTAAAGCAGCAAAAACCTCCGATAAACCCCTCTAAAACCTTCTTTGTTCTCCGGAAAAACAGCGTTTTCCGGCGTTACAATCTTCACCGAATGTCTGTTATTCTAAGCAGTCGACACTGCAACTTTCTCAAGGTAAGTCGCCTTCTTCCCCGCTTTCTCTTTCTTTCTTACAATCTCTCTCCTAAAACCCTCATTTCCTCATTTACCCAGATCCCTTTTACTCATTTTCTTCCCTTTAATCATACTTTTTCTTCATTTTCTTCTAATTTTACTTGTACCCATCATTTTCTTTGTCAATTTTTGCCTTTTCCATGCTCTAATTCGATTAATTTTGATGTTATTAACTCAAATGAGAGGCGTAGAATTTTCGTTGGGTTATCTAGAATGATTAAGCATCAGGAATTTGATAATTTGATGGGGTTTTCTCAAAATTTTTGCCCCTTTATTCTGTTTAAGATCATGAAATTGTTTGATAGTAGGGAAACTGCTGCTGCATTTTTTAAGCTTGCATTTCAGGATCATTCTGATGATACTATTAAGCATTGTTGTGTTGTTGCACATTTGCTCGCGTCCGAGAATCTTAGGTTGCTTGCTCAGGATGTGATTTCTTGGGTTATATTGAGAATTGGGTCTTGTAAAAGTATGGAATTTTTGGAGCTCATGTGGAGCCAACATTTCGATTATGAATCAGATTTTTCGGTACTTGATTCACTTATGAGGGGTTTTGTGAATGCGGGTTTTGTTTATATTGCATTGGATGTGGTGAAACGAATGAGGGATGTTGGTGTGGTACCGAGTTTGTCGGCTATTAGTGTATTGTTTAAGTTGTTGTTCAGGGTTGGTGACTATGGAAGTGTATGGAAATTGTTTAGAGATATGGTTCGTAGAGGGCCTTGCCCATCTAATTTTACATTCAATATTATGATTCTTGGATTTTGTAAAAGCGGTTGTCTTGTGACGGGAGAGAGCTTATTACATGTAATGCAGAAGTTTCAATGTCAACCAGATGTATATACCTATAATATTTTGATCAGTGCTTGTTGTACAAGAGGGAGAACTACTGATGGATTGACTTGGATGCATTTGATGATTGAAAATGGCTATAATCCAAGTTGTGTTTCCATGACTACGATTATAAATTCGTTGTGTAAAGAAGGTAATGTATCAGCAGCAAGGAAATTATTTGATGGAGTTATTGAATTAGGCCTCAGTCCTAATATCTTCATGTATAATGCCCTAATTGATGGATATGTAAAAGCAAGAAATATAGTTCAAGCAAATGGTGTTTTCAATGAAATGAGGAAGAAAAACATACCTCCTGATGCTATAACTTATAACATATTAGTTGCTGGACGCTATAAGTATGGGAGGGTAGAGGATGCAGAACGTGTCTTAAGTGAATTTTTATCATCACAACTCATACCAGATGCTTCATTGCCTGATCTTTCAGTTTCTGGATTGTGCTGGGCTAATCGGTTAGACGAGGCCATGAATTTGTTAGAGGATCTGATTGAGCGGGGGCTCCCTATCGGTGTTATTGCTTTTAATTCCATAATAGCAGCTTATGCTAAAGTGGGGCTAGAAGAAGAAGCCTTCAGAGTTTATAAAATAATGGTTAAATTTGGTCTTTCTCCTACCTCATCCACGTGTAGCTCTTTGCTCATAGGTTTGTGTAACAAGGGTAGGTTGCAAGAAGGTAAGGAACTTATAAATCATATGATAGCAAATGGTTTTCCTGTAAATAAAGTTTCCTTTACTGCTCTTCTAAATGGCTATTGCCAGAAAGGGGACATGTCAGGGGCTCAAACTTTGTGGTATGAAATGAATCAGAGTGGGTTATCCCCTGACGCCGTTGCCTTCTCTGCTTACATTGATGGGCTTTCTAAAGCTGGCCTTGTGGAGGAGGCCTTTGCTGTTTTTACAGAAATGAAAATGAGAGGATGCATGCCGAACAACTTTGCATACAACTCTTTAATTTTAGGCTTATGTAACAGTGGTATGATGAATGAAGCTCTGAAATTAGAGAGAGAAATGAAGCAAATGGGTTTGGTTCCAGACAATTGTACCTTTAATATCATTATCAATGGATTCTGTAAACAGGGGAGAATGAAGTCAGCTAATGAAGCTTTTGTGGAGATGCATCGGACTGGTTTGTCTCCAGATATAGTGACTTACAACACTCTTATTAATGGATATTGTAAAGCATTTGACTTAGCTAGTGCCAATGACATTTTACATAAAATGCATTTTTGTGGTTGGAGCCCTGACATCACAACCTATAATATTCACATGCACGGGCTTTGTTCTAGTCGGAGGGTAAATCAAGCTATAACAATGTTGGATGAGCTAGTATCAGTTGGTATTGTTCCAAATTCCATCACATACAACATTATGATGAATGGAGTTTGCGGTGACATTCTGGATCGTGCCATGATGCTGGCTGCAAAGTTGCTCAAGGTGGCTTTTATTCCAAATGTCGGTACCATTAATTTGTTGCTTTCTCAGTTTTACAAGCAAGGGATACCTCAAAAGACTTTGATGTGGGCCCAAATGTTCCATGAGATCGGTTTTGAATTCGATAATGTTACATATAAGATCATTGATAAGGCTTACAGTGATTTGCAAGAAGACATGGAAGCTTCAGCAGGTATACCAGAGAAAAGTCTGTTTCTTGACTTTCTCATGTACATCAATTATGACTACTTACGTAGAAGTATTAATTCCACTAAACAGCTTAAGCATCCTATAACTCTACTTGATGATGAATATCAAGTGTCTGCCAATACTGGGTAAACTGCATCCTCTTCATATTTGAGGTTCAATGGATCTTTGCACAACTGTGAATATCTCCTACAGCTAGTGAGAAAACCTGCAATTGGTGGGGCCTTAGGGGGTCAAAAATTGGCAGCCTTGTCTCCTAATTGCAATTTGCAATGCCTACAATGGCTACAAACTATATTTCATCGGAACTGGCCAAAATTGTAGAATTGCAAAGACAGTAAGAGTTATAGTTCAGGGGAAACAAATGGAGTTGAAACACCATCATATGTGAAAGATTGTAGTATCTGAGGAGCATGTGAAAGATTTATCTTATCTGGGGAGCAGCAAGGCATTAATCTGCAACTGAATGTATATTTGACAAGGTATTTACTTTCTTAATGTGACTTAGCAAATATTCATGGCCTGACCTCTATGGTTTTGTAACTCAGTCTTTACTTATGTGCTGTAATACCATACTTGAAAGGCTTTAGAATAAGAAATCCATATAATTTAGTCTTTCGCGTGGTTGTTCCATGGTATGCTATTAAATTTATAAATGGGATTGCAAGCACAGTCTTTCGCGTGGCTGGAAGCTTCCAATGCTAATTGCTGAGCAAAATAAAGTTAAATTCACTCAAAATTATTATCTCTCTCTCTCTCTTTTTTTTTAATCTATACCTGTTCTCCTCTATTTACAGACTACCTGATTTCCCTCTTCTCCTTGCTCAAGCTACCCCTCACTGGAATTATGATGACAATTCCTACTGTGACCTTCCCTAATACTTGATGCCTTACAAATAAGTTCCATTTGTTGTTTTATGTTAGAGTATAATTTAAGGATTGAATTATTTTTTGTGATTTATTGTTACTAATTACTAGAGGTCTAACAATTTTTGAGTTTGCTTAAAATCTTGTTAGGAGCTATGAGATGCATGCTTTCCCATTTTATTTATTCTAGATTGGTTTTTGTTTTAGCTGTTTGTTCAAATACTTTTATGTAGGTGAGTTTGATCCTCTATTGAGTATTGACACTCTCACTTTAGTAAATCCTAATTAGCTCGCTAAATAATACCCCCCCCCCCCCATCCCCAAAAGTTCGATCATTTTGGCCTAATTTTAGTCCCAAAATGATCGACCCATTTGCATTAAAATACCCACCAAAATTAGCTTCCCCATATAAAATTTTGTTTTTTCATGTATTTTTATTACTTTCTCTCTCTACTTTTTTTTACAAACCTCATGTAAATTTATCTTTTCACTTTACTTTTACTTCTTTTTATTTAACTTTCTTAATACCCGCGAAATCAGCCAAAAGGGTCGTTCTTTCGGGGATGGAGGGAGTATCAGGTTCTATGTCAAATGAAGTTTTCCGCATGCTTGGATCTTTTGAAGAGTGTATCAAGTCAATCATGAGTTACTGTTGAGTACCTTTTCTTTTACTATACTACCTTTGTTCTCAAAAGTTTTTGTACTTTGATATTTGACATTCATAAACTCCACTTAGATTAAATTTCCACCTAAAAAAAATATTGATATAGTCTTGTTAGATTCGCCCCAATATGTATTTTCGAAATATCAACTTTTTTTTTAAATAAATACTCCCTCCGTATCTCAGTAAGTGCATCACTTTGTTTGACACACATGCGAATGCACAACTTTGACTATTGATATCTTTAATTTTGTATTAGTTAAACTTATAAAAATTGATATTATAAAATTGATACCATGTAAATGTAGTTGTGATTAATTCAACAAAAATTTACATAATAACATTTGGTCTTAATATATTACTAAAAATCTAGCCAAAGTTAGTATCTGAGTAGTGCAAAAGTCAAATTGATACACTTGTTCAAGAGGAAATTCATAACTAGAGATATTATTGGTCAGAGATTTACAATGGCAAGCGTGAAAAGGTTCGTGTTAGAACTTTCAGAAATGAATATATTATTAGCTTATGAATTAAAAATCTTGAGGAGCCGTCTTCTTTAGCACAAAAACCTCATAAGTAGATGTCGGAATAGAAATAGTTGGTGGAGTGGGTGAAGGAGTGGCCTTTTAAAAATTATTTAAGGGTGTAGAAGAAAATAGAAATTGGGTGCGAAATTCTGAAATGTAATGAGTTTTTGATGCCAATCAAGAATAATGCATATGTTATTCTCTGTTGTGAAAATTAAAATTTTAACATTAAGATTGAAATATTAGAACCCTTGATCATGTCTTTCTAGTATATGCTTGGGCAAACATGGTACTATGATAGGCTGCATTTTGTCTACTCGTTAATACATTCTGCTAACGTGTTTGGGAGACCCAGGGACGATAATCTTAGTGATCTTTCTGTTCATTTTTTTACAGTAGATTACTTTTGTATGCAAATGTTGAACAATTTTTGCTACAGTGCAAGTTGCATGCTTATTTTTATCTAATGAGCGGCTATGCTATTTATGTTTGCAGCATGTCATGGATAGCTGGAGTTCATAAATGATGAAACTTTGGCTTTGCTGTCACTCTGGCAATGTCATGGGTTGCAGCTTCTCAAGTTGCGGAACATATACCGCTCATTATTATCATGCAGGTACCATGTAATTATGTCGATTGCTTGTAATTTTTTATTGCTTGAATTGTAAATTTGGAGAGTGGATTCTTATAATATTTCATATTGTCTCCGTAAATGATTACAGCAGATTAGCATGTAGTATGATCTTTTGTGTTCCTAGAGAACCCAAGTTAAGCTATTGTATACTAATGTGCTAACTTCTGTCATTCTCCTTGCTAGCACCCAGCTTAAGCTACCTAATATTAGCTGATATCCAACTTTTTACAGTTGCTAATGTGTTATCTATCAACTAAATAACAATTTTTTTTCGATCAGCTAACCTTAACTCCATTTCCGGCTGCAGTTGTCACTAGCTGCACTACTAAACTATGATGGGCCGTACTTTGCTGCATCCTGAGGGGGAGGAGACCGTAATTTGTTGCATCCTGAGGGGGAGGAGACCCTACTTTGTTGCGTCCTGATCTTATGGAAAAACATATTTATATTCCTACCTTACGATAGAGGGCTAGGCCTGTAATTATCTTCAAGTTTCTACCAACTACCGGCTGTTCGGAGGATGTTGCAATAAATTCTTGCCTTCAAATCTGCAAATTTCTCAGATACACTGAGTTTGCTGCTTATTTCTCCTGGCTGTTGGTCTTTTATGCACTGCAGAGGGGGCCCTAAGGGCTATATATCAGTATTAAATATACTCTTAAAAATTGTATAAAATTAGGAATTTATGACAAAAGCACTCGTAAATCAGTGTTATTAGTGTTTATATTTTGATGATTTCTTAACTTTTTATGATTTTCAAGCGTAAATTTAATGCTTATATGTAGCCCTAAAGGCTATGTATAACATTTTTTATTAAAAAAATTGTGTTGCTGGTGACTGATAGAATTCTGAATTTTGCCCTGTTGTGGTCCTGAGATCGGACAAATCAAGTCCTAATACGGATTCAACATTCAAGTTCATTGTTTTTTTGAAAAGGAAAAAATACACTAAAAGTTAATTCCTATTGGATCCTTTTGAGTCTAAAAAATGTGTCAATCAATGGAAAAATAATTAAGATACCCCAATTTATTTAGTGGATAAGTACCAAATTAAGTGTTGTAAGCCTTTAATATTTTGGGGTAATATGGTGAAAGTGTAAAATTGCTAACACCAATAACAATTTTACCTTAAAATCGTCATTAGTATTTGTTGTATTAGGGTAAATTGGTAATGACAAATGTCTAATGATGTTATCGGTTTTACCTATGAACAGTGTAAAAATTTCCCGATTAACCCATATAACTAGGGCAGCTAACGCGCGCTATGCGCTTGCAATAGCTAGCCATATCCAAAATCTCTTTTGAATTTTTTTTGTTTTTTATTTTTTTGTGGAAATCTCCACTTTTGATTTAACCTTACTTCACAATTTAGTTCTTGATAACTTTTTAATGAGAAAAATATATAAACAAATATATTAGGGGTCTAAATTCCATGCACTATTTTTAATATATATATATATATATAGTAATCATTATTAATGAGAGTGAATAAATAGTCTAGATGATATAATTGTGTACATTAATGAGAGTATAATTGCTAGGTTTTGGTGGAGTTCAAGGGGAGAAAAAGACATGCATTGGGTCAAGAGGGAGATTATTCGGAGACCAAAGGGCATGGGAGATCTAGGTATAAGGTCTATGGTTTGTTTGAATGATGCTCTTTTGTTTAAACAGGTAACCGGATGCATTGTAATCCCCAGCTGTTAGTGGCTCGCTATCTTGATCCTAGTCATAAGTGTCCTCTATGTGTAGGAGGTGCTAGATTGTGTCTTCGTGGTAATGCTTCTTGGGGTAGACGGGGTTTATTCAATGTGGCGAATAAAATGGTCAAGGGGTATCATTGGAAGATAGGTAATGGTGAAAGGGTGAAGGTTGCAAATATGAGATGGGTGCAAGGCTCAACTCCGGTTTTTAAATCAAGTCATCTGCTAAGGGGGGTTGGTTCGGGGAGAGTGAAAGATTTGATCTCCCCAGAAACAAGATCTTGGAATGTTGCTATCATTAGGGAAAGGTTTGAATGGAGTACTGCACAGGAAATTTTAGAAATGGAGCTGCCTTTGAATGAGGAGAAGGATGTGCTTTATTAGGGGTGGGGGGGGGGGCATCCATCTGGAATCTACACTGTTAAGACGGGCTATGCCTTTCTAATGAGCAATTTTACTTTGCAACGGGACGTTTTCTCTGACACTCTTTTTTACAGGCTAATATAGAAGCTCAATATTTCACCAAAGTGGAGCTTGTTCCTCTGGAAGCTAGTCATGAATGGGTTGGCTGTCAAGTCTAACCTAGTCAGAAGAGGGATAGATATAGATGATTATTGTGGTATGGCAGAGGAAGACCAACAACATCTTTTTAGGATGTGTTCGTTTGCGAGGTATGCTTGGAAGAACTGTTCCTTGAATATCTTGTCTGAAATTGATGAATCTACTCCTTTGGGACACTGGATTAATAATTATATCCTGCTTTTTCATAGCGAGGATAGTAAGAAGAGCGAATGAGTAGAGACGTTCGTAGGGGTCCTTTGGAGTCTCTGGCTGACTAGAAATGGGAGGGTCTTTAGTAATCAGGCAGGATATCTTGCGGACTTGTTTAGGAACTACAATACGGCGATGCATAACTTATTAGTTTGGCACAGAGTGGATGGGGGGGGGGGGTTGGTGTCAACGCCAAGGGAAGAGGTGATAATGGCGTACCGCCGAGTTTTGAAAGAGTAAACATTGGGTGTTTAAGGGAAGATATTAATCACCCAACAGATGCTAGATTGGAGGTGACAATAATGGCTAATGGCTCTTGGCAAAAGCGGACTAGAATGGCAGGTACGGGATGGGCATACTCAAAAGACCATATCACCTATATGGAAGGGGGTGGAAACTATGGCAAAGCCCACTCATCTCTACATGCGGTAGTTATGGAATGTGTAGCTGCGCTAAAGTGGGCAGAAGTGAGAGGTTACCGAAGAATACTTTTGTTCACTGACTCATTGGCCCTAATCCAATTAATTCAATAACCTAAACGGCGGGAAATGCGGCTGATGTGGACAACCCAAGATCTACTACATGTGGGACGACGATTTATAACTTGCATCATATGGAAAGTTGGAAGAGAACATGTTTCTAAGGCTCATGACATTGTGAATAGTTGTAGGGTCAACTTACATAGCTTTAATGTTTAGTTTTGTTTAAATTTTGTTGTTGTAAAAAAAAAAAAAAGAAAAAAAAAAGTATATATGTAAATACACATTTTGAAGGGCATATTTGGCACAACACTATTTATAAAAGTAATCTTGTACTTTTTACAAGGTAGGGAAATCATAAGGATAAGAGTAATCTTGTACTTTTTACAAGGTAGGGAAACCATAAGGATAAGGAGGTTCGAACCCTCAAACTCTAATAACACATATGACTATTTAAGTATCTAAGCCAATGTCAACTATGTTATTTGTATGGAAAAAAATTCATATAACTACAAATCACAAGGTTTAATTAAAAAATAAAAAAAACTGCATCCAAAGAATAACTTAATTTTGGTTTGACAATGATAATTGTAGTTTTAAAAAGCCTATTAAAAAAAATTACCTGTTATAAAATGGAAAGAAATATGAGAGATGGAGAGAGAATTAATCTGTGTGTTCTTGTATTTCATATAATGGAGGTACAGATATATATAGATACAATACAATTGATAGGGTTTGCTGGAAGAATAATAAACCTAAATTTTAGAAAGTTCTGGAATGATCCAAGGGTATAATAGGCATCCACAAATATATATTTCATAACACTCCCCCTTGGATGTCCATTATCTAAGAATGTGCCTCATTAAAACCTTATTAAATTAGGAAAAACCCTTTAGGATAAAACCTAATGAAGGAAAAAGAGTAAAACATTCTGCGTAATACGCTTGGGATGCTGCCTCATTAAAAACCTTACCAAGAAAACCCAATGTGGGACAAAACCATGGTTAAGGGAAAAAGAGAGCAGCGCGTATTTTCCCCCCCTGATGAATGCATAACGTATTAACGTGGAATCTTGCAGTGCAATAAATCCCATGCGATATGGTTTGGTAACTTCTTCCATGTAGCAGAACACCATTTCTTGATGATTGATCCTTTCAAATTGAACTTGAATCTTCAAATCTTCAAATAGACTTATTGAGCCGTCTTCATTTCTTCATACTTGTGGAAATAATAAAAGTGTTTACAACTATTTCATTCGATAGTTTTGTTTCGAATTATAATATTAGATGTATGCCTTCTTTTGGAGGTCATATATACTACAATATGATGCTTTCATGGCAACACTTGATATCATATATATTTCATTTTCCAATATCATATGAATTAAGAAATTAAACTAATTACATATTTTAGTCATGGTTCTTCTGGACCATAAGAATATTGTTCACACTCAATGGTATCTCAACTTTATTCTTTAATTAGACATTTCATGTTTTTTATGAGAGTTCGTCAATGAATACATAGACTTGTTGAATCTCACATACTCAAACTTCAGGTTGAGATATCAATGATGTAGTCATATTGACTTTTCATGAGTTTGATAATAATTGCAATATTCAAGATATAAAATATGTAGGGCTGGGTATTTAAACACGTCGTATATAAGCTCTTCAGGAACTCTTCTTACATGAATCATAACTAGTGTAAGCCCATTAGAATATAAATATTTCTTTGTAAGCTCCCATCAATGTTGTATACGCCTTACTATACATTGGAATGACATTCATACATACCACAATTATTATATAGAAACTAGCCAGTGCATGAAATATGAGATATAGGAATCATGATAAGATATTGAACAAAATATGCAATGAGTAATGCATCTAACAACTTCTTAAACATGCAATATGCAATCCATTAACCTATGACTCACGCATGCACATAGGTGTAAGACTCAAATAAATGCAAGACACTATACAGTGTGGATTTAAAAATCCATATATATTTCATTGGACTTCTGGTCCATGATAAACTTTTGAAGATTATCATTATGTCGACATCATAATAATGGACATAATGGACATATGTTTTAGATCCCTTATTCAATAGTCCATGCATATGCATATTATTTATCGGTTCCATTGTGTACCGGTATCATAAAATTACTTTAATGTACATTTCGCATGCTAATTTATAATGATATCTAAATACATTTCTCATTGTTGGTACCATCATAACATTTCTTACATAATAGGCCATCTATTATAATAATTCAGATATATATACCACATATTAAGGGTATTTCTCACACTATGGTATTAATATACTATTATTATACTTTAAAAATATCAACTGCACTATCTTGCCGTACATCGCATATTTATATTGGAACCGATCATACAAACTACACTTCAGGTGCAGTGATTTAAAGAAAATTGGCAAGATCTATCTTAATGTATGCACATAATATCATTATCACTATAATCAAAATATGTCTCTCTTTTCCTCCAAATGGGTCATAACGGTATACAAATCAAATCATAGATGTGCAACATATGTTGATACAAAAGTTGGCATGTAACTTTACAAAGAATAATTAGAGGGATAAACTATTTATAGTATTATAATAATGCCAACTTACTTCAATTCTTCCCCCTAAGTTGGTAAAATATCTCAAATGTTGGGGAAATTCTTCACCAACTTAGAATATAATTTCATGTGCATCAAATTTCATCTCGTAGGATAATCATATATATTCAACAAAATTTTATCT